CTTCCCAGGACCTGGACGAGTGGATTTTTGACAAACCTACAACTGAATTTAACATACATTGATTTCAACATTACACTTTGTCTTTAATTTTCATAAGCTTACTATTTGATGGATGGCTTACAGATGGTTCACTCGTCCCGAGACCCCTTCCCCTAAATATAGCCACATCCTTGCTCGGGGTTTGTTGTTCCGCATTTTTCCATGATTTCACCTGCAGCTTCCATTCATTCTTTGCACCCTAGTTTTAAAGCGGAAAGGCGGGTTACGAAGTTGTCGTCAACGGAAATCTCTTCTTTTGGATGATGAGACACGGACACCTACTTTAGCCCCGTCTTAACCCTGCTGTTCGCATAAGCCTACATAAACCCTACCCTGGGTGGCGGCGTGCGCCACATGGTGGCGCACGCAAAAAATACACTGGCCGTCCGTTATGGGTTAAATTTCATACTGAATGCTCCAACATGCAGTAATTGAAGTGCAGCCACCAGTCTTCTAGCGACTTCACCGCTGACGGCATAGTGGGAAGCTTGCTTCGTTAACCCTTGTGAGAGAAGTGGCGGGAGGGGCCACGAGTCGAGCCCTTAAGTGTTGATCGACGGACGAATCCGATGTACATTAAAAGCAACAGTCCAGGCAGGGTTTCAACTACTTGGTCATTAGGCGGTCAAAACATGCCCCAGCCCAACTAAAGTTTATAGGAAATGTCTTTAATTTCAAAACCTACCTCTAAAATGCGCTGGAAGGGGTCGAAGTCCTCTTGGAGGGGGCGGATCACCCATAAAGAGGCGGATCGCCCAACATTCGCTGTGCAGAGCGCTTGCTCGACTAGCGGTCGTTGCGGGACCGCCGCGCTGTATGAGGTCGATTCCATAAGAACCCAATTGAAGCGCTTCAATTTCGATTGCTGGCAAATAGTTATGTATTTGCAAGCATGCATGGCTATTTGCCAGCAGTCAACTGGAGCGCATGTACTACGGGCAGGTTCGGACAACTCGTCCAACACACATCTCCCTAAACGGCCGGGGGAGTCCCTGTCTAAGCCCCTGCCCGACGTTTTTTTCTACTTTTTCTATTCTCCATTGACCAACTTCTCACCTGCAACGTCATTATAGGTGGTCCTTACCCGCGAATTCGTTCCTGGATTGTTGCTTTAAGACAGTTTCCTGAATTGTGAAAGGGGGAGGCATGCATAGACGGAACTACTATCTCCAGCAAACTACCACGAGTGAATCCATCGAAGAAATTATTGCAGCATAAGCTGCCAAATGCGTCAATGCCTGCGACCTTTTTTATTCGGGCCGGAGGCAACAATATCTAATGGAGTCCTATCGAAAGATACAGGGGCACCCTCTGAGGAAGCCTAGGAGTGGGCAGGAACTCTAGGGAAAATGAAGATCGCTCACGCAGTCTGGAGTCTCTCCCCCTCGCCTGAGGCTTAGTTCCGCTTCCAACAAATAGGAGATTTTGGTGCGATTTCAAGTGAAGAGCCACCTTCAGTACCTTATCTTGTCAGAGAAGCGCCATATTGGCTAATAGACGGTCATCCTTTGCATCAGGACTCGCATTACTGTAGAGATTCACTCACTGCACTTGGGCAAAAAGGAGGGGGGAGGGAGTGTGCGTGTTGACAAAGTTAACAAAAGTCTTCAAGAACATTGAGGATACGGGGTGAACGGGTTGCGCCGTCCTCGGGCACTGTTCCTGCCCCGTCAAGCTTTAGCCAAATTCGCTGTACTTTGTGAAGCATCTCCTTGTAATTTCAGTTCATGCTTCGTGACTTCTTCTGCCTGCTGCTGTCAGCGGTAGCAACTGCCTCGTTCGCCTCGTTGCTTCTAGGACTACTCATGATCGGTGTGGTCATCATGGCCAGGAAGCTCAAAGTACTGTTATTCACTTTCAGTACTGCTCTGATAAAAAATTTCTGACGCTTCACTTTACAGATGAACCCGGACAATATCACCACACCGGTCGCGGCATCTCTCGGGGATGTGTCAACATTATTCATTTTGGTAATTTTATTTGTTCCTTTTTCACAAACAATACTGCCGTTCACGGGTTGAATTACAAAGTACAATTCGAGTGTAGGGGGTCATTAGGCTCGTGCTAGGTGTGAACGCTATAAAAGGGAAAGGGAGACAGGTGGAAAGGTGAGGAGTGGGGACACCTAAGAATATCACAATGGCCTACTGAAGGAATGTTTGGATGCTGGTAGCTCTAGGGAAAGTTGTTGTTGGGAATGATCGCAGGCTCCCGCTATATCCACTCTCCTGTGGCCGCCCGCATCCAGCAACAAATTCATGAGGAGCGTCACTTTAATTACTCTCTTAGGAGATGCCTTTATGCAAACGTCAGAATCGCGCCAAGCATTTGTCTATTGCCCACAATTGTTGAACTGTTTGAATCGGTTTAGAGCGAGCTCATTGTGAAGAGCTTTTACCCTGCGTCGTGATTTTTGCAGTCACTAGAAGCTTGGAACCTTATGTTTGCTTTGTAGACAAATTCAGCAATCACTGAGTAGATGGGAAAATAGGGGAGGAGAGGGGGTAAACCTTTACTGAAGGCAAGAAATTTGATGAAAACCTAGTAATGGCAGCACCGGTTCTGGGGATTTTAACAAGTTCTGCCGACATGCGACATCAAGCGGAACCGGCTTCAGGGCTACCCTAACGACACCCATCTCTCGTTTTATGAATGTGAGGGTATTTTCAAGGTTTTATTTTCAGTTGTTCATGTATTTCATGTGATTTCAGCTTGGTCTCGGTAGTGTCTTGTTGCGAGTTCGAGAGCACTATTGTTGGGCACTGGTTCTGATCCTGCTATGTTTCTATGTTTTTGCAGTCGCAAGCGCATACAAAGCTTCCGAGGACCACTTCACTGTCGAGGTGAGGAATTTGTTCGAGTCTCACCGATGCTTATTTTGGAAACCGTAAACCTGACCTACTTCGCTAGAGTAGATCGCCACTACCATCTCACGCTGCGCCAACTATGAACGCCAGTTTTTGATCAATTTTGAATGAAACCCGAAGTCATTACTATCACCATGTCCTAACCAGTGGGTAGACAAGGACGAGGAGAGCTTTTCCGAGACTAATTTGTACGTTCCATAATATGAATATGCGCCCTCCGTGATCAATGAATGGAAGTGCGCAGAACTAAACGAAGAAGCCGTCTTTAAGGGCATGTAGTCTTTTATGCAAAATGGACTTTCGCGAATTGATGCAGAGGCTATGGGTGGGACACAAGTCATAGTCATTTTTCTCAACAACTCCACGAAGGCAGTACGATGTAAAAACTTGAGTGCAACGCAGGTTGACGCCTACTACCAATTCGCCAAATGACCCAGCGGCGAAAGTAGGCGTCATGCAGCAATTTTTAGGCAAACGTCCGAATTTCAAAATTTAAACACCACGGAGGATCGAACTATGGATCATTTCTTCGCGCATCGTTTTTGAATTCTAGAAGCGTTCAATGAAAATAGACCATGTTCTGTGTTTCCCGCATGGGCTTCTAGCACATGTAGGAAACCGTTTCGGAAAGGAACTCCATGTCCTGAAAGACCTTTTTCACTAAGGTTCACCGTCGGCAAGGTCATGAATGTATAAAATACAGACAGAAACAAGAAAGATCTTGTAAATCGGAATTTTGTAACGTACTAACGCAATGTACAGCATTGACGGACCCTGTTCATGGATTGGGATGCGTGAGCATTTATTGTTGCGAAGTGCTGTCGGGGGGCAAGTGACACAATCACCATCCGTGCCAATCTAGAGGTCAGACAGCTGCACACACTTCATGTAACCTGCATTTCTCTAGGCCTGCGCACAGGGTCGAATACCATTCTATTTCGGAAAAATAAAAGACCCGTACATGACTCAGCTTGTCTCACTAACTGTGCAGGCCACATTGTAACCAAGTGCCTAACATGGTAGTGCACTCCAGGTAGAAAGTTTATTCTTCATCTGAAGACTAACTGGGACCTGGAGCAGAATGTGATTTCGCGAAGAATACTCTCCACACCCAATGATTTCGGCATTCAATCAGGACCCGGGAATTAGGGTTGGTCTAAGAGCAGCTCGGCTAGGTGATTAGCTTACAAGGAAAGGATGGTAGGTCGAAGTGGCCGTTTAAAATGAGATGTATACCACCTGATGCGACCTCCAGACGCTGATTCCAAATCTGCCTTCCAAATCTGCTAAACGACTCTCCGAACGGAGTTATGAAGCGTAATAGCTCAGTGGTGATGGTCCGGGGTGGCAGGTAAAAGCTCGTAGGATCGGTTCCTTTGCAAATTGGTTGCTTTGCTTTTGTCTCTAGAAGTGTTGCGGACAAAAGCAAAGCAACAAACTTGCAAAGGAACCGATCCTACGAGCTTTTACCTGCCACCCCGGACCATCACCACTGAGCTTCATAACTCCGTTCGCGGCGAGAGTTGCTTAGACGATTGGAAAGCAGATTTACTGTACATCATGCGTCTTGGAGCTCATCATCGGTTGGTAATGCGCGGAAGTACGGAGACGAAAGCAACAGAAAGTCTTTTGGGGAACGACTCCGAACGGTCGGCCCGTAGGAATTAGGCGCCCAACACTGCGACAATTTTTGCGACGCAAGCTGATGAGCGATCTAGGGAGGTACGGAGCCTTACATTTCCCTCGCGGTTATCTTACCACCATGTGCGGCGCCATTCCCGTGTTGTTGCTTTAGGAACGCTAGTATACGGAACTTCAAGAAATGCAGTCTTGTCGCAAAGCAAATCGTCTCTGAGTCTTCCTTATGGCATTCCTTGAAGTGCTCACTATCAAAGAGATTAACATTCATTCCTTTTGCCTATTTCTTGTGCTGATGACAACAATCTATCTACAAAGAAATAGTTTATCCTGAACGCGCTTCTCACATGAAGCTGATTACCACTGATGACCTATTGGGGTGGGCTGAAGGTTAGGCTAGCCAGTCCGTAATATTTTCCCGATACCAACACTAATAAATCGTTCAGGTACTGAAGAATGGTTGGTGGGCAGTTCTGGCAGCGATGTCCAATCACTACACTTAGTGGTTTCGTGCTCAAAAGCGCAATGCATAAATATCCTCCAATAGCTGCTTTCCAACCTTTGATAAACGGTAAGTGGGGCAGAGATCTATTGCGTATGTTCTTAAAGTTGAAATATTGTAAAAGGGAGCTCCGAGGAAAGCCCGTCTGATCAAGTCACACGTGACGTTATTGCAATCTAATAAGGCCCTATTTAGGGGACTCTCCGAGAAGTTCGAAGGGGGTTGTGTGTGTAAAAGTTAAAGGGGTCGTGGTTGCGTAGGAGTGGGTCGGGGTAGGGGTTCTTGGCGATTCTCAGAGAACTTCGAGAAATAAGCGTGAAATATACAAAAGTGGATGATTTGCATTTCTTGAGACGTGTCTCCTTCCACCCTCTTCCCTGTTCGACGGCCGTTTTGGACAGAAATGGGCGGAGTCGAAAGTTGACCTTCAACCTGACGTCTTATGATGGAGATACTGTTAGAAAATCTAAGGGGGGGAATGGGTTGTAAAATAAATTTTCGGTGGGCTGAATGCAACAGCGGAGATGGCTTTGAGGCTCACACTGCGGGGATCTCATAGCTGTAGCACGGGAACGCTGACATGAGGTGGACTAGCATTATTGCGCCTGTGCACCGCATTTCACTGCTCGCGACTGGCGGGACTCGAGCGGATATCGGCTTGCTCATCCACCACTATAGGCAGTGTCGATGTCCAGACGAGTCAGATTCGTGAGGGATATTCAATGCATGTTCTGATTCGATAATGCCGATAATGGCGTAAATAGCAAGACGTCAAGGCAGTAGTAAGAACAAGTCTCAGACGTAACCAAAAGCTGTAAAGCTAATGGTGTCAAGGCCTTAGATCGACGTGAAAGGAAGTGGATAGCTAGCCTCGGAAGCTGGGGCCGCCACACTGTTAGCCTAGCATAGAGCAGGACACATGGCGACCAGGGTTAATCTCTGTATTGATTGAGTTCTCAACAAGATAGGGTGCATTTAGGTTTCTGAAAAGGCTGCGTACATATAGAAGATACGGTAAAGGTCAATAAACGTAGGGGAAGCGGGGAAAGGATCCTATTGGCGGAATCTCCGAAGGTGCGTGATGAAAGGGTTGTAGCGCACGATATGCCTACAATCTTGTCCGCACTGTCCGAAAGCAAAGCGTTTCTGAGTCTTCCTTATGCATTTCCTAGAAGTGCCACTATCAGAAGATTAACACTTATTCCCTTTGCCTATCTCCATGTGTGCATGAAATCTCCTAACAAGAAACATTTCCGGAAGCGGCTTCTCACAAGTGAGCTGATTGTACCACTAATGACCTTTGTGTGGCTGAAGTAGGCTAGCCAGTCGTAATATTTTCCCGATACCGACACTAATAAATCGTTCAGGTACTGAAGAATGGTTGGTGGGCAGTTCTGGCAGCGATGTCAATCACTACACTTAGTGGTTTCGTGCTGAAAAGCGCAATGCATAAATATCCTCCAATAGCTGCTTTCCAACCTTTGATAAATGGTAAGTGGGCAGAGATCTATTGCGTATGTTCTTAAAGTTGAAATATTGTTAAAAGGGAGCTCCGAAGAAACATCCTTTCTGATCAATGACGTGTACGTTATTGACAATCTACGAAGGCACCTATTTTAGGGGAGACCTTGTGGAGATTTGTAGGAGAAATTTTAAAGGAGTGGTGAGTAAAAGGCTAAAGAGGTCGTTTGGGCGGAGCAAATGGGGTCGGATTATTCTGGCCCTGAGAGAACTTCGAGAAAGGAAAGTCGTAAATGGCCAAGTATTATCAAGAAAACTTCACGACATGGACCAGTTGGCTCTGTTACCGGAAGTTTTTGTGACGAAATGCATGGTAGGTACGTATCCACGTGTCGAACGCACGAACATGAACAGGATTCACTTCAAACCTTCCCATGAACGTGGATCCGTACCTACCATGCATTTCGTCGCAAAACCACTTCCGGTCTGTAACCGACACTGGCCATGAATCCGCTGAAAAGCTTCCTTTAAGATCTGTTTCTCTATTAGACTGTTTCCTGCGGAGCCTCCCCTACCCCGATCGACAGCCGTTTTGATTAGAAATGGGCGGATTTGGAGTGTTTCAACTGGTCAGTGGTATGGTATCACTGTAGGAAAATAACAATGCCGATGATGATTGAAAATATTTTCACAGTGGGGTTGAACGTAACAGTTGAGTATGGCCTTGAGGCTCATACTGGGGGACTCATACTGTGCACTGGACAGCTGGATTTGTATCTAGCTTTTTTTCGCCTTGCACCCGCGATTTCACATGCTCGCGTGGGGGACTGGACAGAGTCAACCCTGCGTTGCGCAGTTCGCAACGGCACGTTGAGAGATCCTCAACGCACGCTGTATGGGCGGAGACGCAGACGGCTCGAGCATGCGAGTGTGAATGTTCGCGCGAGAGAACGTGTCTAATCGGGCGAAACTGCGCAACGTGGCCGTTGAAAACTGCGCAACGCAGGGTTGACTCTGTTGGATATGGCTTCTGTCATAGCACTAATAGCAGGTCGTGCATGACAAACAAGTTCTCGTAAGGCCTATATTAAATGAAGCTCTCATCGATAATCGTGCAGAATACAGTGATGTAAGAATTACACGGCGAAACAATTCTCCGCATAACAAAGCCTCAAAGCATTAAATTGGATGTCTAAGGCTAATACTGAGAAGATAGTGAGAGGAGACTTATTCGAAAGTTGCGGGCGCCAACACTGTTAGCTCATAGAAGATGGACATGGACCAGATTTAATCCTTTAATCGCGACCAGTTCTCAACGAAGGAGGTCGCTATTTGAGTTTTCTGAAAGAGGTTCGCTAGATAGAGATTATGAAGTGTAAAAGGTTGTGAAGGGGAGGGGCCTATTGGGGAATTCCCTAAGGTGGGTGTGAAGGCTGAGTTTGTACTGAGATATCTTTAAGACAACGGACGGCTGACCCTGCGTCGAACTCCTATACTGATTCAGATGGCCCACCAACCTGGCCAAATCCAACTCAGCGTCGCAGAAGATAGAACGGGGGGGGGGTTATTTAGAAGCAGCGAAGGACAATGGAAACATATACATACATGAACATGATAATAAATAAACAGTAGGGTAAAATTTCTGGGCTACACAAGTGATGTAAACAGCAATATGAATTGCTCTTCCACCTCATAAGTTTGGGCCGACTTTCTCGGTCTCATTTATTTGCATCGCCCTGCTGGCCTTCTTACGGAACCTGTTCAATCGCTGAGTGGTATGACATGAACCACTGTGGGTTTCTAAGAGTGTTGAGCACTAAATCTTCACTGTACTCAGGGAATCCTAAAGTTTTCGGCAACTGCCTCTGCGTGCCTCATGTACTGAATGATGATGAGAAAACAATGTCTTGATAGAGTGTGATTGAAGGAATACCAAAATCATGTAAAAAAAACTTATAGGCGTCGGCGGCAATCTAGTAGCAGTCCAGGCGAGTCGTATAAGCACCGGTCTTCATCGGTCACGGAAGGATCAAACACAGGACTCGAAAAGCCTATGGACGTACACAAATCCTTGGCATGCTTTTATTGTAAATCGTAAGTTGCATTCTTTGATGCCACGGGTCGTGAGACTGGTGAGAAGAGGGAAAACTCCAGAGAGTACGACGCGAGAGGGCACAAACGCCATGTGTGCCGCGCTTCGGGACGACTTGCCCTCCCTAATCCCTCCCAACACGACGCCATCGAGGTGGTTCGGGGCCCCCGCCGTGGCCTTCTCTTCGCCAGGCACGATAAAAGCACGTCGTCTACGGGTCCTTCCCGGGGATCATGCGGTTTCCCGCACGCATGACCTCCGCACCCCGGGGCCTTACAGGGTTCCTAACCCAGGAACGGGGGGTTACAGGGCCATGCCCCGCGGTAACAACCCCTTGATGCACGCAGCACATGATGACCTATTGCGCCTTAACCGGGCCCCAGCCCTGGCGCTCCCCCAAGCTTACCCGTGCTGTTACACTTGTACACAACACTACACACTTGGACTCACAGTTTATTGGCGATAACGTCTTTACGCACTACAACTTAACTTCCTGCCGAGCGTGGAGAAGCCCGGCCAACGCTTGTAGTGTCTGCAGCCAATAGCGGTAACTGCGGTAACATCGGCCTGCAGCCGATAGTGTCCCTCGGGTGTAGCGGGACACTAACTTACCAGCGCTCCGAGCGAACGGGACAGCATGCCCGAACATGCTGACGGGTGCTAGCAGGCACCCCTAGCCGTTCGCCTTCCTCGCGTTGCCCGACGACCGTCTCTCCCGGAGGAGACGAAGAGCGCCGACTGGCAGAGGCGACCCTTTATATAGGCCTCGGCTGGAGGCGTGGCCGGAGGCGGAGCACGCGCCTCTCGCCTCTCCCCGGTGCGTGCGCCGCCAAGCGACCAACGGCGCGACAGGGGGCCGCGTCGCAGCGCCGGTGCAACCGCCCACTTGACCCGTCCGTATCGCGAGACAGGGCCGCGCAAGTGTGCCGCGCTTGAATGGAGTGGCAGGGCGCCGGCCAGTGCATCAAAACAAACCATGCATGCACCTCTGCTCTGCGCCTTTGAGCGCCTATCAGCCAATCTCAGCGAGAGAATGTCAGGTGGTCCCTATGGTATCTGCTTTGCTCCTTTCTCATCACGTTCGTCTATCAAGCACTTCATAATCTCAGTTTCTCCAAAAACAAAACAAAACATTAATTCGATCAGGGCCATGCCTGTATCACCAGATGTCTGTTTGATTCCGAGCCTTCTCGACCAGGTGTTGCGCGTAAAACGTGTGCCGTTTACTGTCGATGACACGAGCTATTCCGAATTAGGAATGATATACCACTTGGACTCGTGACATTGCTTGAAGCGCCCTCATCATGTAATAGCTCAATTAGGCGAAAACTGATCGGGATTCCTCAACAAGCTTGTCGAGTATTCGTCTGATCGGTGACGCTCTCCCGCGCCGAGAACAATTTCCTGATCAATTACGATCTCTCGCGCGGACATTCACACTCGCCATGCGCGAGCCGTCTGTGCTCTCCGCGCGTATGTTCACTCTCGGCACTACTCTCAGCAGAGAGCGATGGTCGAGGAATTCTCGACCGTTATTCACCCTGGGCCAATCGCTCTCAAAACTACTTCTTCCTGATTTTAGATACAACGGGACCACTTCCTCATTTTGTGAACTTGTTTTTCAACCACAGTTTTTAGATGAGGATTCTGTTGCGGCACGTATTCTCATTGGTATTTCGATCCCAGGAAATATTATATTTATGAATACAATCTTCTTATTCGATTGCGGGTTTAAAAACACGGTTCCATTCACGGTCACATTCCTTGCAGTTTCGCTTATTCAGGTACGTGTTTTGACCGGCAGGAACCTTCAGAGTCTACCAAATTATCATAACAATGTTGTCAAATGGAATATTTCAGGTTGTTATTTTGTTGTATATCTGTCAGTTCCTCGTACGGGCGATGTGGCGATCTCGAATCGATCCCGACAGTTCAGCCATTCCAGTTCTGACGGCAGCCGGAGATTTGCTCGGTGCCGTCCTACTGATAGGCTGCTTCTGGCTTGCCGCTAACGCCTACGGGATGCACGTAGACGAGTCGTATTTCCATGAACGTCAATTAGGAGTTCATTAGCTCTTGTAAGTCCGACATTCAGCACTTATTTCAGGTCAACTATTCTCCCTGATTCCGTTGCGTGTAGTTAACGAAATGGGTGGGAGTTATGCGGTTGGTAGAGTTGCCATGTCACGTTGGAACGTTAATTTGAGGAGATCAAGTCCCTTGACACTCTCGAGATCTCAATCCATCTGGGTTCATACAGATCACCCTTCTCAAGAGAGGAAACTGGCTAAAAAAATAGGCCAACCTTCAAAGGCGGAGTTTGCGCCCGAAAGGCAGCCCATTAGAAATCAAGATAGAGGTGGTCAGTGGTGCAGGATGAAGAAAAACCATGAGAAACGGCCCAGAACCCGAGAAATGGGACCCTTCCTTGCCGGATTTCCGCATTGATGCGACTCTCATCGGTGCTGCCCTCTTCAACGCTAACGCTCTCTCTGCTAAACGGCTAGAGTCAGACGGCGAGGGGTTACCTATCGGGGCGTGCAGCGGCGCGAGCGGCGCGGGTACGGCCCTGCTAGGCCGCTGAGGGCATACTCTTCGCTGTGAAACGTGCTCGCCGTTGTGGGGCCTGCCTGTCTTCCGACGAGCTAAATCCCACATTTTCAACCTCCGACTTCGTCGCCAGGATCCACCTGTAAATTGGCCAGGGTAATTCAGTGTAAGGACGAACATTCACTACCACCGTTAAATTCAGAAGGCAAACTAAGATTGCGGCGCCTGCCAGCGAGTCTAATCAGCTTTAATCACTTATTGTTAGTGGCGCTGTAAAGGGACTAGACTATACTGTCTCCTTGCCTATATAAGAAACACATGAAACATAGAACTCAGGGTATTAAAAATAAAATGCTCACTGCTGGTAACTCCCATAGAGTGCGCCATGCATTCAGTCTTTGTTCGGAATTCTTAGTGCGTCCGACTTGTTCGCCGCATGCAATGAAATACGAGGCAGCCATTGTTCAAAACCCGTTGTGTCCTTTACACATAAGCTTCTCATTTCATTGGTCTACGTGGATAAGGACGAGGTCTATCTCTGGGAGATCCACTTCACCCCACTGATTAATTAAAGGCACGCTCCGGGATCAGGCGCGCTCGCCTGTTCCATCCCGGGGTAGTAGACAGGCGGACAAGCGTTGATGTCGCGCCCCTTTTGCCGCTTGAAAGTGCGCGACAAAGGCGCAAGGAGCTCGTCCGACCCGCAACTCACACCTTCGTCCGCAAGCCCCACCCTCCGCTGTCGGTTGCCACGTGGCGCTGCTTGAAAAGCGCGGGCGCATTTGAGCAGCGGTCCCATTGCGACCCAATGTCATTGGCACTGGAGCAACTAGAGTTAGGTTCGTGAAACTCGTCCAACGCGCCCCTTCTCTATCCCAAGGTGGAATGCGGCTGAAATAGGGGAGGTCTCTGTGCGGGGCGTAATCGGTGGTTTCTTTGCTTCTCTTTTACCTCCACCTCTAGCTTCATAACTGAACGCTTTTCCACACCTATTTTATCCCGAATCTTGCCTTTAAGCATGGCGTCACCGTTTTCCACAGGGTAATCCTCAAAATCTGCCAAACACCTTCCTCATATTATTGGAAGCTAATCATAGCCTATAATGAACGAGCATCTGCCGCACTCATTTCATTTCAGTGTTCAACGATTGGACGTAGCCCGAATGATAGTGAGGATAGTCTTGGACTACTCAGGACTACCCTACAATTGCATGGGCGTGATGATCTCAACAGTTTAAAACGTTGTTAGGCACCATTTGTAACTACTTGGATCCATGTGTTGACGTTCAAATCGTACGCGATCGTGATCGTTGTAACTTTGACCGTGTGTCCCTCTCTCTTTTATACGTGGATTACGGTGGAGTTCGAGTAGTGTAAAATCTTGCACATAATACGGTAATAGTGATCCTAAAAGATTGTTGATTTTTGCTCAAGTCGATTCATTTCTTTATGCGGTGCGTGTAATTTACAATCCTATTGAACATATATGTACAGACGGCCGTTGAACCGCCGTCTTCTAGTCTCCATCACAGTCGTAGTCGCAGTGGACGAAAGGCACGCTCGACAAAATCGAGTTTCAGTAGCTTTTTCTCCAACGGATGACAGATGTCGTGCGTAATCTGAACAATTCAAAGCCTTAGATTTTTATGCAATACTTCGAATAAATCTCTGCTCCAGCGCATTTACGGTTCCATATAGAGTATTGACTCCAATTTCACCTTAAACTCGGTGAGTTGAGCTCACTAGGACTACGGATTTGTGACCATAATCCTCCTTCACCTATCCAACCTACAGCGATTGATGTAGGGATCAGCGTGCTTCTGCACGGCATGTTCACTTGCGTATTTTGTCTTTTTTGGTCGCACTGCCTCTCCGTCATAAAAACAGACTATTACTGGAAGTTCAGGCCCTCATATTCATGCGTCAATGTGTGTCTGTTGCCCTCGACTTCCATGTTGGCCAACATTCGCACGGAAAACGCTCCTATACACCCTGTTAGCACGGGGCTTGCTTACAACATCGATAGAAAGCCCCGGGGCTATCCTTTGTAACCATCTAGGTAGTAGTAGGAGATTAAAGTTTCCAATCGGTGCCAGGCCCTGCTCCATTCGCACCCCTTCGGAGTTGTTGGAGGACGGCACAGTATCGTCGAGAGGGGCGTCGCCGACGCAACCACTTGCGCGGCGTCGCACGCGGCACTTTTCTGATGGGCGCGGCATTCTTTGAATTTGACGATTGCAGCCTACGTGGAACGCGGATAACGAGGCGAATCTGAGAAAGCCATCTCTACCTTCCAATCAGGGTCGGTCCTATCGTTGTTACTTTCTGAAAAATTTTTACGACCCCCCTCCCCCAAGGTGGATTTGATACGACCCCCTTTTCGACACCTCGACCACCATCATCGTCTCTATAGTACTTAATTCTGATACCACTCAACTCACCAAACCCCCCACTTTTTCCTCCAAAAATGCCGTCGAGCGGGGGGGGGGGGGTATGAAACGGCAAATTTTTATCCTGCGCGCCCTCCACTCGCCCAGCCTACTACCCACGAAATCTTAGTTTCACCTCAATCCCACACGTGATTTCAAGCGACTAAAGTGGGTACGACCCCCCCCTCCAAGCTAAACCAAGTACGACCCCCCGTTGGTACTTGTACCAACGTAGGGTTGACCCTGCTTCCATAATGAGGTGAAGCCGAACAAGTTTTCTTTCCCAGTTTTTAAGATAACATTGAAAAAAGCGGAAAGAAGACCCCGATAGAACTTAAGAATCCGTCGCATCATGGAATTAATATGAGTGGCGACAAGTCGATCTTGGTTGTTCGTTCAACACCGAGTTCAGAATAACGCCCTCCACGAACTCGCCACTGCCAGACGCGACTGCGGCGACCATGGCCAGTAGCGAGTGGGCTCGCGACGATATCTGTGACATACACCGAGGTGTATGTCCCCCGCTTCAAAATGAAGCCATTTGTAAATTCAATCATTTCTAGCACAAAAAAGCTTTGAAATAGATGAATTTGATAGTTCCATCCTGACAGTGTGGTGCACACGCCGACTCTCCGAGAACAGGGGCCGGGTGCAGGAAGCCCCGGCCAAGGGAGGGTCCCAAAACTCTGCACCTCTGGACGCATCCACATATTCTTGATCACGAGGATAGCGTCCATCAACTGCAGAGACGTAGGGTTTTGGAACCCATCCCCTGGCCGGGGCTTCCTGCACCGGCCCCAGATGATCACGACCGCCATGTGCTGCCATGGCGACTTGATGTACAGGGACAATCGTACATCTCTCGTTGAAATTGCGCTCGAATTTCAATCCAATCTTCGAGCCGACGTATCGACTGTCCTTAAGCTGTCAGAAAAGGTGTAATTCTGATCAGGCCACAATAACCGTGAACACCTAAGGAGGGAGGGAGAATCTGAAAAAGAACAATTGTGGAGCTTACCAACCTTGAGAGGAAGATTTTCATCCAAGACAATGTGCACTTCGACGGTGGCTTGAACGCCGGTATGATAAACCATTACATGATCGATGAACCTGTAACGATCCAAAATAGAAGCCCATTTTTCCCACAGACGTTCAGACAAGAGACCATATCCAGAAGCAAAATTGGAAAAGGAAATTCTAGCTGAGATGTAAGGGAGAGCAGCTAGAGCTGCGGCAGACGGCGTGGCTACCACGCGTATTGCCCGTGGCTCGAATCAGTAGATGTCCCGTAAGGCCTTTCATGTATAGCTAGTTGACCGTCAAATAAAGAAGAAAATGAGGAATCTGCAAAAAATTCTCCGAAAGCTCTTAGCACGCCGAACACATGAGGAAGGAGTGCGGCATGCTTTTTTGGACTCTTTTCCCAACTGTATCAAGGTAGGGGTCACCTAAGCAATTGTGGAGAGTTCAAATGTGCATATATAGGTCGACATTTTACATCCATTATGCAGTCGAGATTTGGGTCTGATGGCTCTACGGTCTCTGTCTGGAGTCGAATTCGCAGCACAATCTGAAGCGATCGATCTGCTCCCATTATTTCAGTCTTGCCTGAAATAAAGAGAAAAATCGAAGCAACGTGCTTACCGTATTCGATCGTCGTGTTCAATGACAATTTTGATGATCCGGCTCAGATGATCTCTCTTCACCACGAACACCAACGAGTATCGGCACATATTCCAGTGCATTTTGGAACCATGACAATCGCGATTAGTCCGCTGAAATTTTGTTCCATAAAGTAAGTGACCACTTTCAAGTACAAT